CTCGCGACACGCCCTGCCGAGGTCCAGGGGGGTTAAGGGAGGGGTTGAGGGGTAAACTGCTCCCCGAAGGGGTAGAAAGGGGGCTTGGAAGAAGAAACTCGCTAAACCACTCACGCCCTAAAGGGCTGGTGGGATTCTGGGTTCGGGGTTCCTCGTGGGTGCATAGGGTCTGTTGGGGCCCCTTTTCGGTCTCTTGGAGGCTCCTTGGGGGCCTCCTGGAGGCCTCTTTTAGGGTATTCTGCCACAAGGGTGTCGCAATTGCTTGATATTTCTGTGCCTGCCTGCTGGCTCTTGCGGGATGGACTCCCTTGAGCGCTGAGCTTTGCACGGCAGTTTTAGTTGGAGCTTTCGCTTATAATCACTACTGTGGCATGCTACACTACGATGCTGTATGCATGTGTCTTCCGATGCAGCGTGTCCTCAGGCCGCTTCACGTGCAAGAAAACGCCGTGTGTCCTCAGGCCGCTTCACGTGCAAGAAAACGCCGCGCGCAGAACACGCCGTCGCACTCGCGCACCCGCTGCAGCCTACTGCGCGTGTTGACTGCAGCAGAGCTGCGTGGCTGGGAGGACGTCGGCGGCGAACGCAAGCGGGGCCCCCAGCGCGGCGGCCCGCCAGGGAGGCAGGAGGGTCTCTCAGAAGGCAGGGGCCTCAGAAGGGCCAAGGAGCTTCCGAGAGGTCTTCTCCGAAGCGGGGATGTTTTAGTGAAGCCCCTCGCCTTCTGGGAAGGCCCCCCGCCTTCCTAGAGCGCCGTCCTCTTTGCACCACCCCCTTGCGCGCGCCGCCAACGACGGTCGCCAGCGGTGAACGACAGGGGGCTGTCACCAGAGGATGGGGCATGAGAGCTCACTGGTGCACCTCCTCCCTGGGCACGCCCTCGACTGCTCCTCCGATTCCCCTGTCTCTTCCTCCTCCCCCTGTTACCTCCCCCTCCTCCTCGCATGCCCTCCCTCCTCCCCCTCTTCCTCCCTCCTCTACACTCAGACAGTAGGAGTTCAATTGTCCTGTCTCCCCTGATGCGATCTTTAGTTTTCGCCCGCTCGTTCCGTATTCCTCTTTGTGTGCACAAGATTGTCCCAAGAGGGTTCTCGGTGCCGTCTTTGTCCCATCCGAGTGTTTTCGAATCAGACATGGCGCTCCCGCTGCAGCGTTGGCCGCGCTTCAGGATCTGCGCCTTGGTCCCGCCGTGAATATTTGCGCTGTCGCCCCAGCGCGGGCCACACTTCTGGATCCGATGTGTGTTCCCCTTCGCTGCCGTGCCCTCCTCCTTCCTCCTCGGCCTGCCCTCGCTCCTCCGGCTCCTCCTGCCCCTGCTTCTGCTGCTCCTCGCTCTTCCTCATCATCCTGAACCTCCTCCGGCTCATTTGCCACCTCTATCCCCTCGCTCAATGTACAAAGCAACCCTCTCTGATTCTGCATTACCCGATGGGGGTCAAGGTCGTCCAGGGTAGCCCAGCCGGCGGATAGAAACTCCAACGCAGTGGGAATGGGTGAGTGAGAGGGGTAGGACGCCAGGTACGTCGCGAGCGCACCTATCTTGCCCTCCCCACTTTTTATTGAGGAGGAGGCGGTGGAGGAGGAGGAGGAGGAGGAGGAGGAGAAGGAGGAGGAGGAGGAGGAGGAGGAGGAGGGAGGAGGAGGAGGAGGAGGAGGAGGAGGAGGAGGAGGATGATGATGATGATGATGATGATGATGATGATGATGATGATGATGATGATGATGATATGATATATGATGATGCTGACGATGATGCTGCTGCTGATGATGATGAAGATGATGATGCTGCTGCTGCTGCTACTGCTGATGATGATGATGATGATGCTGCTGCTGCTGATGATGATGATGATGATAACGCTGCTGCTGCTGCTGCTGCTGCTGCTGATGATGATGATGATGATGATGATGATGTGATGGTGGTGGTGATGATGATGATGATGATGATGATGAGGAGGAGGAGGAGGAGGAGGAGGAGCCCCCCTCACTTTTTATTTTTTGTTCCCTCTCTCTCTTACTCTCTCGTGCAGGGCGGGCCCGTCAGCAGGGCCTCCTCCAGGGGCCAAGCGCTCACAGCTCACAGTTCACAGCTCCCCCTTCCTCCCCCTCCTTCACCTCCTCCTGCTTCTCCTCCTCCTCCTCCTCCTCCTCCTCCTCCTTCGCGCGGCAGACCCTGTGCTCGTCTGCGGCCTCGATCCCTTTTCCAGGGAGCTGCTCCTGGAGGGCGGTGGGCGTGGAGAGGACTCGACGGCGGCTGCCTTGGCGGAGTCGGTCGGTGCAGACTAGGCTTAAGCGGGGCCTTTCCCTCTACAGGCGGAATATTCAACAATAGTTCAACAATAGTCAGGGGACGATGTTTGACTATTTTGGAATATTTTGGGGCTTTTGTTTGACTATTTGTCATTCTTCGCCCCACGTTCGCCTGCAGGGGGACATGCCCGACCTAAGACTAGGTGGCGAGCTCTCGCGCGCTGCGACAAGCTCCTTGCGCTCCTCGGTGAGCGTGCGCTTGCTGAGGCGGATCTGCTCCGGTTCCGGCGCCAGGTCGGTGATAGCGTCGGTGTTGCCGGCGATGGCCTTGTCGCGTTCTCCTCGAGAACCTTCTCTCTGCCGGCGGTGTCCTTGAGGGCTTCGATTTCGCGTCGGAGCTGCGCAGCCTTCGAACGAGGAGGTGGGCAGGAGCTTGCGCGCGGCCTCAAGTGCCCACTCCGGCTGGGCGTTGCGCTTGCAGCTGCCTGGCTGCCTTTGGGTCCACTGGCGCCACGCGTCCACGCGCCGTCGCGGCTCGCTCGGCCCGCGCCGGCAGTCGGCGGTCGCGCCGCGCCATCGGGCACGGGCGGCCTGCGCGAGGCGAGGTGGCGAGCGAGCAGCCGACGCGCCCCGTCCAGGCGGAGCAGGTGCCTCGCCGAGCGCGAGGGGGGGGGCCGCGGCCGCCGAGCTCGCGGTGGCCCGCAGGGCCGAGCGGTGCTGCGCAGCCGAGCGGCGGGCGAATCGCATGAGGCCGCCCGCGGGGGCATCGAGATGGGGCCGTGGTGACAGGGACGAGAGCAAGGCAGCCGCTGGAACCAGAACCCTTGAGCCAAGCTGGCCATGGACCATGGATGATGGTGATGCTGATGATGATGATGATGATGGTGATGATGATGATGATGATGATGATGATGATGGTGGGGATGATGAGGAGGATGCTAATGATGATCCTGCTGCTGCTGCTGCTGCTAATTGTGATGATGATTGTGGTGATGATGCTGCTGCTGATGATGCTGGTTATGATGGTGTTGGTGGTGATGATGATGACGACGATGATGACGATTGTGCTGATAATGATGCTGGTGATGCTGATGACGGTGATGTGATGATGATGCTGATGCTGACTATTATGCTGATGCTGCTGCTGATGATGATGCTGATGCTGATGGTGACGATCATGGTGACGGTGATGGAGAGTGATGGTGTTGGTGTCCCTTGTTATGCCGATGATGGTGATGATGATGGTCATGATGATGATGATGTTGATGGTGATGATAATGATAATGATGATGATGAGGATGATTCTGAATATGATGATGGTGATGATGGTGATGATGATGCAGATGATGATGATGATGATGATGATGATGATGATGATGATGATGATGATGATGATGATGATGATGATGATGATGATGATGACGATAGTGATTGTGATGGAGATGGTGATGGTGATGATGATGCTGATGATGGTGATGGTGATGGCGATGGTGATTGTGATGGTGATGGGGGCGATGGCGAGGATGACGATGCTTGTGGTGGTGGGAACAGGGAAGGACGGACAATTACACGCACATCTGACACAATCTCTTGGCGCGTCCGATCGCGACCGACGCGGGAACGACCAAGTCCGAGATGCCCTCGACCACGTCTGAGGGGCGCTTCGCCGCGACGGACCGCGGCCGATGTCTACGAATTGGTCGCGGGCGGTTGTCGGGGGGAACGTGTGATCCCGCCTCCGGTAGATTTCACATCGTTTCTCGGGTGCAGAGAGGCGCCCAAGATGACCCAGGAGGGCGCCCAGGCGGCACAAGATGGTTCCAGGAGGCTCTCAGTCCAATAGTGCGCTGTTCCGTGATTGTCCAGGCACTATGTATGTGCTCTTCTTCGTTGTTCAGAGTGCGTGCTCCTATGTTCTCCTATTTGCAGATGTGAAGTATATTTGTACCACAGGAAGGAAATTCAGGGTCACATACGTGGACTTCGGATCCCCGTCTGGGGTAGTAGACCCCAGTCCGTGGTATCCCCCGCCCGTTCCTGGCATCTCTTTGCCCTGCGAGGCGGCCCCCGAGTGGCGACACGAGGGCCCCCAGACGCCCCGAACAGGCATCGAAAGGCTGAAGCTGACCCACGACGGCCGCCAGCTCGTTCCCAAGCTCGCTCGGGTCCTTCCCCGTGGGCTGTCTCTTAGGTCGGTCATCGTCCCGAGGTTCGGGGAGGGTCTCACAACGGAGTTGCCCTGTGGGCAGGCGCTGGGGCCCCCGCGGACGCTCCTCGGGCGCCCCTCAGAGGCCCCTTCCAGAGGCCCCAGGAGCACAGCAGGTAGCCCCCAGGGGCAGCTCCAGGGGCACACAGTGACGGTCCCAAGAGGACTCCAGGAGAGCCCCGAGGGGCTCAGGAGGCTCCAGAGAGGGCCTGGCGACGCCCTCATCTGCACATTCACCACAGCTCAAGAAACATATTCAAATGGTTGAATGCGTCGCTTTCCCAACCGCCCCTTGAACTTTCTGTGAGCAGCCTTGACCCATGCGTCGTGCCTTTATCACAGACTCGTGGTTCATTTTTGTGCGGGGGCCTTTTCAGTTCGGCCATCCTTGTTGTTCTCAATGAAACGTCCGATGCACATGCTTCCGACTAGTTCCTCTGCTTCGAGCGCGTACAGCGCGCCTCTTCTAATGTATGTATGTCGTGTTGTCGATGGCCATTTCTCGCTGTGGCGTCCCACCGCCTCCCATCTCTCATCTGGTAGCATCCAGGGACGTGTCTGTCATGGACATCGAGTCTACTCTCTGGGCCGTGTGCGACAAGGTTTTGAAAGACATCAGCGTGCCCTGGCAGATCCGCTGCAGGAGCGCCGGCAGGAAGGGCCCCACACCGGTGCTAAGGAAGGGAGGCGGAAAGCTTGGAGCGATGCTGTGGGTAAGCAGGTTGGGCGGTGTCGGGTACGCAAGGCATTCCAACGCCAGCATCCATGTATACCTATATGTATATATACACATACACATGTGTGTATATATACATATATATGATGCCTCCTATGCACCGTATCGGAATCGTGCCTCGGGATCTAGAGGTCCCCTCGAGGATGGACATCTGTGCGCCCCTGAGGGTGGGAAACTTTCCACATCCTCCACGAATCTAGCAGCTGTGGATTCGGATATCTCAGGGCCGTCCAGGCATGAAGCATGCCGCCGTTGGAGTTTATAGTGGCCACAGATGGGGAAGCGAGGAGTGGTGAAGGCACCAAACAATCGTATTGTTGTTTGTGTTGGTATGCCTCTCGGATGCGTTCAGATCGTACTGGAGCGGCTGCATTGTTTACATGTGTTCCCCCTTTAGAAAACAGTGGACATCAAGGCACACAAGGACACATTAAGACTCATCAAGCCCCAGCTACATCTTGAATCGGAGAAGGGTCATTGAGGATACTCCAGGATGCTTGCACAGCCTCCCCCTGGGCCACCCCAACGACGGCCCGTTTTGCCCCCCCAGCGTGCACCGACCCCCCCTTCCGATCCAGTGCCCCTTCGTCAAGCGACGAACGGCCCAGTTCTAAACCTCCATGTGATTTCCCCCCTCACGCTTAGTGAACATCTCGGAGTAGGACGAGAGGAGACCCCCGAAACTCTCAACCTTTTTCCCTGGGGCGGCTTTGTATCCTGGTCATTTTTTGTCGTTGATGGTTTCTGTGCCCACAAACGGTTCCCACATGGTCAACATTGAGTCGACAAGCCTGCCGTTTTGACGATCGTCGAGCCGTCGTATGGCTGTGATAGGGGCTGCATTGGGTGTGGATGGCAGGGAGAAGGGGGACCATGGGGGAGGAACAGCAGAAGTATGGAGGATAATGGGGAGGAAGGAGGAGGAGGAGGAGGAGGAGGAGGAGGAGGAGGAGGAGGAGGAGGAGGAGGAGGAGGAGGAGGAGGAGGAGGAGGAGGAGGGGAAAGGAGGAGGATGGGGAAGGAGGAGGACAGGGGGAGGCGGAGGAGGAGCAGAAGGAGGAGGATGTGAGGTGAAGGCCGAGGAGAAGCGAGGGAGGCGAAGGAGGATCAGAGAGGAGGATGGGCGAGGTGGAGGAGGAGAGGACGAGGGGAGGCTTTTGGGGGGCCCTCCCCGGGCCCCGGGGGCTGTCAGAAAGCTGCTCGGGAGGAGGCGCTGATCCCGGGAGAGCTTCCGCTGGTCCCGGTTCCCCTGGGCCCGCCTCCTCCCTTGACCCGCGTCTCCCATGGGGCTCATCCTCGAGGGAACAAACAAGACGACCATGTGGTCGAGATCTGGATACCGCTTCCTGATGCCGCGAGATCTGGTCGACGCCGATTGTGGTCATGGTCCATGCCGGCCGCCGCGGGGCCTCAGCAGGCCCTCCGACTATAGTTTGGGGCGGCCTCCGCACCCCGACGGTGGTGCGCGCAACGCCCCACGCGTGCGCCGCCGGAGACCCTTTTTGAGGCCCGACATGCTAAGGGGGCCCGTTGGGGCCGCCATGCTGGGAGGGGGCCTGCCGAGGCCAGCCAGGGTTGCCTTCGGGGGGGCGGTCCGGGGGCCGCAGCGCCCAGGCTCGACGGCCGGCTGGGCCGCGCCTCCGCGCGGGCCGCCCTCTTTCGGAGGACCCGGAGTCCACACGGAGTGCGTCCGTACGGAGTGCTCGGTCTCCATCTGGACTTGCTCCGTCTGGACTCATGCTCTCCTGGTAGGATGCTAAGTCCATAGTCCATGCGGGGTAAGTCCGCACGGAGTGCTCGATCTTCGTATGGACTTACTCCGTCTGGATTTAGCCTCTCATGAGTATTCCGATCGGTCCCCTTGGAGCCGCTGGGATGACCGCGGGGCGTGCTAAGGTGGTAGGGGGCTACATGCGGATGCCAAAGCCCAAGTGGCTGAGGGGTGGGGGTAGCGAGATTTAGGCTCTGCCCCTCCCGGCCCTCTCACGAGCGGCGGGCAGGTCCACACTCGCGCCGTCGCGGTCCGGACTCGGTGGCGCGATGCCGCGGACACCTGGTCGCAGGGGTGCGTTCCGTGCGGGGCATCCGCGAACAAAGACGAGCGCCCCGCATCCGTGGGGTCGCGGGCCGGGGGCCCGGCCCGCGGGGCTGAAGGACACGCTTCCCGCCCACGGCCCGGACTCCGGCCGTGGGAGCGCGCCTGCTCCGAGTCGGGCGGCCCTGGCGCCCAGCAGCGCGCGCGGCCTCCCCGGCCAACCTGCAGCCTCTTCCTGCGGGGCCCCGCCGTGCGGCTGGTCGGCGGCCCCGACCCCTGCCCTCGCACGGGCCTGCTCGTTCTGCGGCCTCTGCCCGTCGCTGTGGCGGCAGCGCGGGGAACGCAGCGGCGATGATGGCCGGTGTTTGTCCTGATGGGTGGGGTCGCCTGCCAGTGCGCGGGCAGGCGTTGCCGCTCTTGGGTGACCTGCCTTGCGCCGCTGGCTGCCTTGCGCAGGGCTTTCGACGCATCGCACAGCTCCCGAAGGTCCCCGATTGGGGGGCTCTGCGCCAGGCGCCTGCGACCGCGCATGCCGCCCGTCATTGCCCTTAGCGTCCTCTGTCCGTGCCACGCTGGTCAGGCCCAACCCTGGCGCAGGCGTGGCGGCACTGGTAGCAGCGCCGTCCACAAGTTTATGACGATCCTTGCTGCTCTTCTTCCCTGAGATCCGACGTCGAAGGAACAGGCAGCATCGCAAACATGACCCTGGTGAAGGACCCAACCCACTGTAAACGCGTGGCGGACATTAGCAGGAACACTCAGTGCACACGAACATTCTGAGGGATTTGCAGTACCCCAGAACGCTTCGCCGACAAACGGACAACTACATTCAAAACCGCCGCATTCAGGCATGCACTCTCACTGGGGCCTTCGGTGGCGCTTTCTATGAGGCCACGAAGCGTGCGATGGGTCTCCCGAAATGGACCCGAGTACATCTGCGAACCTTGCCACATGTACCCTCGGTGCAGCTCCCTATGTGGCCACGAGGCGTGGGAGGGGTGTGCCGAAATGGGCCCACGTACGCATGCGAATCCTGCCACTGAAGTCTTCGGTGGAGCTCCCTACTGGGTCACGAAGATGGACCCGAGTTCGCATGCGAATCCTGCCACTGGGGCGTTCGGTGGAGCTCTCTACGGGGCCACGAAGCGTGTGAGGGGTGTGCCGAAGGGGACCCGAGTACGCATGCGAATCCTGCCACTTAGGGCCTTCGGTGGAGCTCCTTATTGTCCACGAAACGTATGAGGGGTGTGCCGAAATGGACCCGAGTACACATGCGAACCCAGCCACTGGGGCCCTCGGTGGATCTCACTATGGGGCCACGAAGCGTGCGAGAAGTAATGATAATGATGATGATGAGGAGGAGGAGGAGGAGGAGGAGGACGAGGAGGAGGAGGAGGACGAGGAGGAGGAGGAGGAGGAGGAGGAGGAGGAGGAGGTGGAGCGGGGCGCTGGAAATTCAAAACGAGGACCCAACACACAGGAGGGTCGAGAACAGCTCGACTGGAGCCCTGGACACCATCTTTCTGCACCATTTGTCGAGCCGGATCGATCCGTGAAGATCCCGGGGCCCCAAACAAGGCACAATCGCCCGCAGTGAAAATATGCGGCGCCAGGATCTCAGGGTTTTTCTTCCCCCTCTTCCTACCGATCTTGCGCTGATCTTGCTGTGCGCTTTCCCCGAGTGGTGGCGCCTGCGCCCCGTGCCCGCCCACCTGGTGCGCAAACGCCCGGGCGCGAGGTCGCAGAGGAGCCGCGACTCTCTGAGACTCCCTCCTGGTCGGGCGCCGCAGAGGAGCCGAGATTCTCTGAGCAGAGGTCGCCCGGGTGCGACCCCTCTTTCGGCCACGCGCAGAGGGGGGTGGGGGGAGGGGGGAGGGCTTCTTCGAAGCACCCCTGCTTCTTAGAAGGCGCTGGCCTCATCTGTAGATGTAAGGCCGGCGCCTTCTAAGAAGCAGCCTCCTTCTAAGAATCGACTAGACGTAAGAGTGACCTTTCGCCGGAGTGACCTCTGGTGCGGGCACAGATGGGTCCCCAGATGGCTGAAAACGGAGCATGAGCAACGGCTTGCGCGCCCAGGTTTGGTCCCCACGCGGCCCCCCAAAAAGCCGCGCACCAAAGGTCACTCTTACCCAGGGTCACTCTTGCGTGTAGCTCCCCCCTCCCTCCGCCCCCTTGTGCGCGCCGCCAACTCTTGCTGAGATCCTCGATGCACGGCCCAGGCCCCCCTCGTCGAACAGTCACCACGGCCCGCGAGTGCTTTCTCGTCGTGTTCGGTCTCGGCCCATCGTCGGGCCCGGGGACCGTCGATCGACTACCCAGGATGAGAAGCTGGTCCCGGGGAGTGGGCCGAGACGTCTGGGGGTCCACGCCAAACAAAAACCAACGCTCCTCCGACATCTCTCAGGAGGGATAAAATCACACAGACACAGTTCAACGTCGATTCCCAGGAAAATGTGGAAACATATGGGAAGTGGGGGGGAAGACAAACACTTTGAAAATATGGGAAAATATTGGGAATCCTGTTAGCAGCGTCTACTTATTCTCTTGCACAGGGTGTCTAGAGCTCCGACCACTTTATTTCGGCACCGCACCCCCCCCTTCATCATCATCATCACCATCATCATCATCATCATCATCATCATCATCATCATCATCATCATCATCATCACCATCATCCTCACCATCATCACTACCAGAATCACCATCATCATCATCACCATCCACATCATCATCATCATCATCATCATCATCATCATGCGCCTCCTCCGTCTCAGCGCCCTCCCGCGGCTCCAGCGCCCGCCCAGTGCCCCCTCCGCCCCGACCACTTTATTTCGGCACCGCACCCCCCCCGCTCCGCCCCCTCCCCCGCGCCGT